TACGTTGTACACGTTCTGAAAACATTTCTGAGAACAATTTGCTAATTTCTGACATGATATGAGCTCTCAACTGCCTATTTCTGAGAACATTTTGCTAATCTAGGTGGGCGCCTCTGCAAGCCGGAACTGCAGGAAGCAACCCCCGGAATCTTGGAATGTAAATAATTTGCTGTTTGTTAACATGCGCAACGTTTTATACAGTAGCTACAGCAGATTGAAAGGCCGGTCCTGGTTACTTGTTTAATTTTCCATATCCTCCATATCAGTTCCCTTCTGTTCCTTGCTGAGCTTTTCTTAAGCCTGTCCTAAGCTGAACTAATCCAAAATGTGTTTTTTTGAAAAAATGATACCTTAAGACCAGGCAAGCTGCTCCGGATTGGCAAGAAGATGCTTGCAAACGCAAGCGGCCATGTGAATCCTGATAGACTCGAAAAGTCTGCCCAATTCCATCTTTAAAGTCAGGGCAGTCTGCTTCCCACCACTTTCGGGCGCTCTCCTTGCAGTTGAAGAACTCGTGGCCTTCTGTGATATCATCAAGTACTAGGCCAGCGCAACGTTCAAAGGTATTCAAATCAAATCGTTCTTTTTCTTCTGCCAGAGCTACCGCCAACAGGTGAGCACGGGACTTCTCATGCGACAAAACTCCTTTCAAGGTTGTCCATTTCTGGCCTGAAAAGCGTCCCCCACAGAGATTGCATTTCATGTCCAAACTGTCGTCTGTGCTGCCCACGAAAACGTAGATACCGTTGCGCTCTCTGTGGACCCACTTTTGCAATTGCACTGACTCTGAGTTCTTGGGGGGACGGCCCCTGGCTCGCTTGGCCGCATGTTCTTCTGCCAAGTCGATGCCTGCTCTCTTCTCTCCTCGCTTCTGTGGCTCAGTCTGAGCATCGCTCTTTCCCTGACAGGTCGCTCTGTCACGAAGCCTGTTGCTGATTGTTTCCTTAAGTACGTGACATGCAGGGCAGTCCACAGGCGTGTCTCTGGCCACGGATATGCAAAAATCTTGCCAGTGGCCTTTTTCCACGTAGCACTCCTGCGCTGGGCGAATTGCTAGGGGATAGAAACAAATTCTAAATGGACACAACCTGTCACAATGTTGATGATGCTGCTTGGCAACTGAGAAAAAAGAGAAATGAAACACATGCAGGTACTCAAATAAAATCATCGTTCAATCTTCAAATGCTTTCGGCGGGCCCCGCATGTGCCCATAGCTCAATAAGAATGCCGTAACATGTTTTCACTGTGGCTCTCTCCTTGTTGGCATGAAGTCGCTGGAAAACTATGTTGTAATCGATATCGCATTTTTCCGCCATCGCAGCTCCTTCCGTTTTGGCCGTGCGCTTCTGTTTGTTCGTAAGGGCTGGATATCTTGGGATTTCCGCGGCGCGGGCAGCTCGATCGTTCTGAAGGACTTTGTCTGGAGTGTGCTCTGCAACCTTGCATTGATCACGTTTCTGCGGGGTTTCAAGGTGTGAAGCCTCGTCCTGGCATTGGCGCTTCGCATGTGGTGGAAAATGGAAAAGCACGCACTCATCAGTCTCCAGGTAAAACGGCTGAGAAGAACGCTCACAGAGCAGCAGTCGCTGGAAGTCTGAAAACCCTTTCGCCACCATGGAATAGGAGCAGTTGCTTCGCTCAGCACTGAAGGCATGGGAATCATATCCCAGAAGCCAAGGATGGCGAAGGCCTGAGAAAGCTTGCCACGCCACGATGCCAAAGCATTTGCCACGTGCAATCAATGCGTATCCTGTGCAAAAGCACTGGCTTTCAGCGTACTGCTCCCAATGCTGCGCCATGGCCTGGAAAGCGTCACGCAAGTTGCCGCTGGGGAGAAGGCTCCTCTGCAAACACTACAGCGGCCACATAAGGATTTTTTTTTGCGGCGCCATTCATTGGAAATATAAAACTCTTCGGACACATTGAACTCAGTAATAATGGTCAAGAATGGCGAAATCTACGTGACACATGCCGAAGATAGTGCCACCAAGCTGCTGGCAATCCCACTCGGTGAAGAAATGCTCAAGTTTCTCAAAGGCATCCACTTGCGGCCTCTGGTGCTTCTCATCCCCCACTACAAAAGCTTGAATTTCATCAGGCCGGGAATCTCGGGTCATGCCTCGTGCCTCATTGCGCGGAAACACCTCCAGCTGCCAAGAATCACACATGGTGGCACCTTCTTGCAAGCAATTAGCCACGAGCGCATCAGAATGCAGCCAAGCGCTTGCAAAAAGCAATGGGCTCTGATTGCGCTGGCTCAAAGCTTGGTCTAAGAACACCAATGTTTGAAAGACGCAGCTTGTGCTGCCCCACTTCCTCATGCCATTCAACTTCTCATCGTTCTGGCTTGTTGCGTACAATCGCACCATTGGACACAAGGCCTGGAAGCACTTCAAATGAAACCCTGGTCGTAGATAGTACAGCTAATCTATCCGAGTCTATCCGTGTGTGTTCTGTGTGTGTGCCCATGTTTGCGCAACCAGACCGGCAACCCGAGACCACTCGAACCATGGGTATAGCCAGGGCTGGGTATAGCTGCTCCCTGCCTGCATCTTGTTTGACCAAGAGGCCCCCTCATCCTCTTTGTCGGGCCAGGGAACGTCCTTCAACGGAATTTAATTTTGGATAACACGAACTGAGCACGAAAAGAGCACGAATCAATCCAAGTATAAAATTAATGCAGATTCAACAAAACACCCAAAATCTCAAATAAACTATCATAACATATCAAGACATTTCAAAACATATCCAGAACATGTCAAAATATTATCGGAATAGGTCACCCATACTCAGCTCATACTTTGCTCATACTCGCTTTCGCGCTGGAATAGTTGCGCGAGCAAGTTCGTTCATAATCCCAAAATACCAGAGATGTCTGCTAAACTTACCACCCTGATTTCCGGCAACTGTTGTCCTGCCCGTCGTTCAAGGTAAAAGCCACAGCCGTATGCTGCATTTCAACTGCAGTTGCATCAGCGGCAGGCTGCTCGATTTCATTCGCAGTGGGTCCTGCGGGGATAACATGCAAATTGACACAAAAGAATGGCAAAATGCATTTAATGTTGCGCGTTGATGAAACCTATAGGGATGTCATCAGGTTTTGAACTGTGTGTAGTGATCGTTGTTGATTGTCATTCATCGTCATTGATTCCGGTGTGGCTGCCAGCTGGCCGCCAGTAAACCTGCTCCAGTTTTAATTTTCTAACTGATTCAAGATGAAAGCAAAGCCCAAAGATCAGTCAATTGCGAATCAGGAAGCTTTCTCCGCCCCCCAGCGCACCATCATCCATATGCATTGCCGCCTTCACAAACGAAACAATGATGGCTGAAGATAACTCATACATGACAGCTAGGATGATATGGAAAACACAACGCATATTCTCGCATTGATCTGCTGCCTTCGGCGGCATTGGTAAGGAAGAATATTTATTAAATTTGATACTTATGTCTGGTCTAAGGCGTACCTGAGTATAGCCATAGCAAAGGAGGTGGGAAATCTTTGGAAGTCAAATCCATATTTGTTCACTATTTTCTGGTGTGTTTTTCAAAAATGTTTCATCACCGTTTGATTCATTATATATAAATCCTTTGATTTACCATGAATGTGTGCCTCAAATTGAAAATGCCCAAACATGCCAGGGGCAATCCCGGGCAATCCGAAAGGCACCTCTGCAACTTCAGCATTAGGATTTCCGGCCTCCTGACGCAAGGTGGCTATCAGCATGACCGAGATTGACCGAGCATGACTGGACCCACACTGGGTCCGACTTGTCTCAGACCTGTCTCATATTTCTTTTTTAAAAAGTTACAAAGCGTGTATATATGTATAACTGAACTATAAATAGTGATTGCTTGTTGCGTACAATCGCACCATTGGACACAAGGCCTGGAAGCACTTCAAATGAAACCCTGGTCGTAGCAAGTACAGCTAATCTATCCGAGTCTATCCGTGTGTGTTCTGTGTGTGCCCATGTTTGCGCAACCAAACCGGCAACCCGAGACCACTCGAACCATGGGTATAGCCAGGGCTGGATATAGCTGCTCCCTGCCTGCATCTCGTTTGACCAAGAGGCCCCCTCATCCTCTTTGTCGGGCCAGGGAACGTCCTTCAACGGAATTTAATTTTGGATAACACGACCTGAGCACGAAAAGAGCACGAATCAATCCACGTATAAAATTAATGCAGATTCAACAAAACACCCAAAATCTCAAATAAACTATCATAACATATCAAGACATATCAAAACATATCCAGAACATGTCAAAATATTATCGGAATAGGTCACCCATACTCAGCTCATACTTTGCTCATACTCGCTTTCGCGCTGGAATAGTTGCGCGAGCAAGTTCGTTCATAATCCCAAAATACCAGAGATGTCTGCTAAACTTACCACCCTGATTTCCGGAAACTGTTGTCCTGCCCGTCGTTCAAGGTAAAAGCCACAGCCGTATGCTGCATTTCAACTGCAGTTGCATCAGCGGCAGGCTGCTCGATTTCATTCGCAGTGGGTCCTGCAGGGATAACATGCAAATTGACACAAAAGAATGGCAAAATGCATTTAATGCTGCGCGTTGATGAAACCTATAGGGATGTCATCAGGTTTTGAACTGTGTGTAGTGATCGTTGTTGATTGTCATTCATCGTCATTGATTCCGGTGTGGCTGCCAGCTGGCCGCCAGTAAACCTGCTCCAGTTTTAATTTTCTAACTGATTCAAGATGAAAGCAAAGCCCGAAGATCAGTCAATTGCGAATCAGGAAGCTTTCTCCGCCCCCCAGCGCACCATCATCCATATGCATTGCCGCCTTCACAAACGAAACAATGATGGCTGAAGATAACTCATACATGACAGCTAGGATGATATGGAAAACACAACGCATATTCTCGCATTGATCTGCTGCCTTCGGCGGCATTGGTAAGGAAGAATATTTATTAAATTTGATACTTATGTCTGGTCTAAGGCGTACCTGAGTATAGCCATAGCAAAGGAGGTGGGAAATCTTTGGAAGTCAAATCCATATTTGTTCACTATTTTCTGGTGTTTTTTCAAAAATGTTTCATCACCGTTTGATTCATTATATATAAATCCTTTGATTTACCATGAATGTGTGCCTCAAATTGAAAATGCCCAAACATGCCAGGGGCAATCCCGGGCAATCCGAAAGGCACCTCTGCAACTTCAGCATTAGGATTTCCGGCCTCCTGACGCAAGGTGGCTATCAGCATGACCGAGATTGACCGAGCATGACTGGACCCACACTGGGTCCGACTTGTCTCAGACCTGTCTCATATTTCTTTTTTAAAAAGTTACAAAGCGTGTATATATGTATAACTGAACTATAAATAGTGATTATTACCACATCGTTGCAAATCCATTTCACCCCACGCCGACCTCAATCTGACAACGGAACCTAGCTGTATAGCTGGTCCAATCTGGATCAGTCAGGGACAGGTTATCTTTTCGGGAGCTAGTCAAATCTGCCCCCTGTCACTTTCCGCCTCATCAACGTGAGGAGCTGCAAGATCAGCTGACGCATTTGGAAGCTTCAACATTCCGCAGCGGCCTCCGTTGCCGGGACCCTAAAGGACAGAATTCGGCTTAGTAACAATGATGTGAAAATGAACAGAATATGATATTCTTACGGCTAGCTGCGTTAACTGCTAGCTCGTCACAAACCCAAAATGGTGCGCTGAAAACGTAACCAAGTACCACCACCCCAACCGGTCTCGAACCGTCTCCGACATCTTAGACCTGGCATGGCCTAGCCAGGGCCTAGCATAATAATAATTGGACATGGTGCGTCCAGGGTGTGTCAACAATGGCCTTGAAGAAGAGATCGAACTCCCTGACAATCTAGAGGGATTGGAAAGGAATGAGCCTCTGCGTATCCTGAGTCTGCATTGGCATGTTGGTCGGGCATGATACGGCACCGTTAGAGAAATCCCCGGGACCCAAACAAATCCCATAGAGGCAAACCCTGGCAAACCAACAAAACGACTGCAAACTGACTGCAAACAAGACAGCGAAGCCAGGTGAAGTACAGTATACACACAGAACCTATGTAAAAAGAAGCCAAGTTTCGTTTCGCTGCAGGGAACGACTTCAGCTCCACACCGTTGGGTGCGTGCCAATAGACATTTGTCCTGTCGCTGCTCAACGCCGGCCGCACCTCGACTTGCCACGACATGGCTCCAACCTCGCTCCACCAGACTTCAAACTACTTGCTCAGTGTGTGTGTGCTCGCTCTTGCCTAACTTCCACATGCTTCTAAGCAAAAAGATGCAGTATCTGGCAGGTCTCTGGTATCCCCTTCTTTCCAGAATGAGCCAGATTGCGGCAGTGAATGGCGGGTTGGATGACTGGAATGATTTGTAAATGCAGGTTGTCTGACGCTCATGTCGTCACTGCACAGACCAGGGTGCCTAGGATCACTCAGGCCAGACTCAGGCTGGGGCCCCATTTTAGGCTCCAGATGCTTCCAAAAGGTGTAGCCTAGGTGTAGCAAACCATACATTTCCGCCGAGGTAGACGCATGCAAACACAGACACACACACATAAGGCACATAAGTGTGTATGGATATACATGCTCGATACATGTTGACTGCATTCAGACTGCATGTGTGTTGCGGCTGGCTTGCGGCTCGCTTTTCTGCCGGGAAATGACTTTGATGCAAATGCAAAGTGGATGCAAAAGCTCTGGACAGCCAATTACGAATTTGCATTGATGAGCATCAATAAGCGGGCAACTGCGTGCAAGCTCTAAAACTACCGCACAGTGGCCACAAACAGCGCCATAACCTGACCATAACCAGACCATAATCAAACCATTATACGATATGAATATGGTGTTGGTTTCTCATAACAACAAAGAATGCATGCAGCAAACCTTTAACGGTCACAGTCATCTGGCTCGCATCGCATCAGATCACAGCAACCCATCACAGCCAATGTGCTGAGCAGCACTGATTGGGCAACCGGGCCACAAAACGCATTTCCCAGCAAGTTTCTCATCCAATTGTGCGGAATTCCCGCATCAAGGGCCTCAGGAACGCCTTGCACAGCAGCACACACTTCTGCAGGGAGGATTGTGCCCGGCTTGCTGACCCACAGCTTCGAACTTCCAGTGAGGCAAGGGGTTTTTCCCACCGCCCACGGGACCCTGCCCACACTTTGAGATATATCCAAGATGATGCAAGTGGAGAACGGGTCAAGTGCCTCACATTGCTGCAAATACGTGTAGCGGGCTATCAAAAGATGCTGCTCCCTCAAGTTCAAGGTCTGGAAATCCTGGCAGAGCATCAACCCGTGCTTGCATGCTGCGAGTTTTGCTGGCTTCAGTCCATGGGTCTCGATGAAATGCAAAGTCTGAGAAGGCCATTTCAATTTCCTATCCTTCTTGGTGTGCTGCTTCCGTTGCCTTTCCGAGTGGGCCTTGCCCAATTTGGACATGAATGGCAAGTCTTGCAGGCTGGGAGGCACGGCCGGCTGACATCGCCGAGCAAGGTCCAGTACTTGCCCTGGGTCGCCACAGTTTGGCTGTAAGAAAACAAACCAAGCCCGAGAACGCCGTTGAGGAAGCCAGCGAGCAGCATCAAGTATGGCAAACGCACCAATGTAGCCCATGGACTTCATGCGGGCAAACCTGGGAAACAGGGTCCCGGCAGGTCCCGCCAATATCTTTTTCGTACTTCTTAATTAAATACTTCGTGGATACCCTGATGCCGGTTCCTATTTGGTAGGTTGGGTTGGCACGCCTGATTATCCAAGGAACCACCTAGTAAATCTCAAACGGAGACATTGTCAGCACTAGTAAATCAAGGCTCCCAACCAGAAAGATCATGTGGTATGGGCAGGGTAAGGGCTGGGTACGGGTATCTCTTTCAATCCTTCACAATCGGTTGGGAGCTGTCTGCGAGCTGTGCTGGCAAGAAGCACCATCTTATGGCCAGGCTGTCCACCCTGGCATTTTCGCTTGTGTAGAATGCGCTCCACATTCTCCAGGATAACAGCCAGAGGTTTCCGCTTCTCAACGACGGCCATGACATCATCTATCACGCTGGATGATTGACCATCGCATCCGGGCCCAAACTCAATTTGTTTGCTGTTTAAGGCCGACAAGTCAACGCAAGGAGTGCCGCAAACATAGATATCCGCCTCCTTTGGGTCCGTCCAGCACTGATTCAAGTAGTCATAACATTGTGGCTGGACAAGGTCCTTCACATCGCCAAAGACCTGATCAACCCGCATGTGTGGGCTAGTTCTTTGAATCAGCAGCTGGCGTTTGGCGGCATTCTTCTCCGCTGCCCAAAAAGTCACTGGGACCGGCGGCAAGCCGATCTCGTTCCAAACCTGGACTGCGGCCAACATACAGTCTGCATACAGTCAGTACACAGTCCCACACGAACAGACTAGCGAACAGATAATCCAATCAACATAACCTGAACATAACTGCCCTGGCGCATCCAACAGTGAGTAGGCCCGATCAGACCCACTATATCCAGACTATATCCCACTCCAGATCCCACTATTAAAAATTACTTTACTTCGTGTGATCCCCACCATGACATTTATACATTTTGTTACTGGCAAATCTTCTGGCATTCTATCTGACATATTTTCTGGCATTCGATCTGGCATTCTATCTGGCATATCTTCTGTGGCATTCTACCTGGCATATCTTCTGGCAGATGTTCTGGCATATCTTCTGGCAGATGTTCTGGCATATCTTCTGGCATATCTTCTGGCATATGTTCTGGCATATCTTCTGGCATTCCATCTGGCATTCTATCTGGCATATCTTCTGGCATATTATTTGGCAAATCTTCTGGCATTCCATCTGGCATTCTATCTAGCATATCTTCTGACATATTATCTGGCAAATCTGCTGGCATTCTATCTGGCAAACATTCTGGCACTTTATCTGGCATATCTTCTGGCATTCTATCTGACATTCTATCTAGCATTCTATCTGGCATACCTTCTGGCATTCTAGCTGGCATATCTTCTAACATTCTATCTGGCATATCTTCTGGCACTCTATGTGGCATATCTTTTAGCGTGGATACTCGCGGTTGAGGTCCGGCAGGGAACACTGGGCGTGGACTGGGCGTGGATGGTCGTGGTTGAGGTCCGGCAGGGAACACTGGGCGTGGATGGTCGTGGTTGAGGTCCGGCAGGGAACACTGGGCGGGGATGGTCGTGGCTGAGGTCCGGCGAGGAACACTGGGCGTGGATGGTCGTGCTTGGGGTCCGACAGAGAACACTGTGCGTCGAGGGTCGCGGTTGAGCAGGAGGAGGAGGAGAGGAGAGGAGAGGAGCAGGCAACTGACATAAAATCTAACAACCCTCTCCTGGCAGGTGGGGAATAAGGAAAACAAGACATGTCAAGGCCATGGCAGGGTGGAACTGAAGGAAACGTGTTTTTCAGTCCTTCAACAATGTTCAACCGCATCCTGACTGAATCCAGACTGAATCTGTTGTTACCTCCTGGTTATGTTTGCGGCCTCAAGCGGGAAGAATTCCGAATGCCCGCCAGTTTTGTTTCTTTCCAGGACTTATCCAAATTAGATAGAAAAGCCAAACACACCCACGCCCCACCAAGGCACAGCCAGAATGCGGCTCAAAGCAAAATGGCAAACATCCAGACCAGCACACAAGGATGCCACTCGAATGCTTGACAGGCGGCCAAGGTCTTTCTGGCGCTGTATCAAGATCTGCCGGCAGGATTGCTGCCAGCCTTCAGAAAAGTTTGAAGACATGATGGCTGGCGATGGCGGGCTCAGGGCTAAATTCAGTTGGAAGTCTTGGCATTGACAAGTTTATTTATGTTCTTCTCCTCACAGTTACAATACATCTGACGATGGCTGGCTCAGGGCTAAATTCAGTTGGAAGTCTTGGCATTTACAAGTTTATTTATGTTCTTCTCCTCACAGTTACAATACATTGGCACGTTCCGAGCTCTCATGTCTTGCCGGTGTAATCTGGATGCAATTGTTGGTGACAGAACCAGGACGGGACTGCTGTGTGTGTGTGTGTCTGCCTTTCTGACTTGCCCAGGCTGGTTCAGTTGGCTTCCTTTCAAAACAACCCTGGATCTGAGAGTAGGGCCCAGTCAGGATTCGGTCAGGGCCACAGCAGCTGATGAGACCTCGCAGAAACCGCATGGGCTGTGCATGGGCAGCGCATGGGCTTAACAATTGAGCGCTCTTATTTGTCTACTGTTTGTGTACAAACAGTACAAGTGGCCGCCCCAAGTTAGCCCATCCACCTATTAGGTACCCCAGGTAGTTATTCGTACTGGCACACGGATCTAAACTCTAATATTTTTAACGTCTTTAATCTTTCGACTGTGTGATTTACTAGGTCATTTTCAATGTTTTAATCTGGTTTTAATGTTGTGCTTTCAAGGAAGAGAAGACATGGTCTATATCCCTGTCCACCACGCATGAGATCCCAATGGCAAACGGCGCGTCAAAGCAAAAATTGCCAAGGGTTTCGGACGAGGTACCGGACGAGGTACTAGATTTACAGATTTTGACACCCTGCCACGACATGCCCCATGGAAGCAGAGA